TTAGATACGAATATTTCTATTCAATCGCATTTCCTTCGTAATTCGTAAATTCCGGGGACTTCGGTGCTACCATGGGATGCATGAGTATTATAAGTTTTTACATTTGGTTGTAACATCGGAAAAAGGAAATGGATTTAAAAGAAGAGTTCTGTCTAAGGAATATTTGCTATTTTTATAGATTCCGTGCCGTTTATCGGTCCATGGCATATAGTATACCATATAGTCGCCCATGCCCTTCTGTAGTCTATGTTATTTGCTTCCGCCATTCTTTTCCCACTTTTCGTTTGCCATTTTGGAACAATTGCAATAATTCATTCGGCATAATAGAATTTTTGTGCAAAAGCATACTGACATGCCTATTATGAACGTATGTTGCCAGCCGCCGCTCCAAACACCAAACAACCCAGCGACCGACCCAGCAGTCAGCCAGCCAACCATCAAGTCATTCATGCCGGCATTGTTAAATGAAATTATAACCGCCGAACAGCCGTTGTCTTTTCTAGCAAATATCCGAAAAAAATAAGAAGATTCGCCCCCTTTTTTGAGATGGCCATTTGGGTACATGGTATCAGTAGCGGATGATGGCATTTTCACTTCTAGCTGTTGGTTTTTTTCGCCCTTTTTTTCAAATTGGATAGCCAGTTGCCAGCAGATTGGAATATCAACATCTTTTATGGCGTTCTCTTTTTTTGGAGGGGTTTTAAGGGAAGTTTTCACTTCTATTTTTTTAACGTCTATCGTTGTCAGCAGTTTTGGTTGTGGTGTAATAATTCTTTTTTTTTGCGAAAAGAACAGAATGCGTAGCAGATATCTTAGGAAGGACAACTTTCACAGAAACCATAAGTTTTGGGATAGACTTTTTATTTGTTGCGTTTGTTTCTCTTTGCATTATTGTTCTCAAGACTGTTTTCAAAATTTATGGATTTTTTTGGATGAGGTTTTTGGTCATTTTATATTCTTACCACCGAATATTTTAAGAAGACATATTTGCAACTTCGTCATTATTCATTTAAGATTCTTTAAAAAAATATATTTATAAATAAGAAAATATGAAATAAAATAAAAAAAGTTGACAAATTAAAAAGAATCAGACGGTTTTGCCGACAGATGTTGGTTTATTCAGCCCCAGTTGGTTTATTTCAATATATTTTGATTTTCGTTATGATTATTCAAACTATTGACCCTTTATGGTGTAGGTTACAAAGGAATGGACAAAAGGTCTCCATTTCGTATCTGAACCAAGTCTGATATAAATATGGCAGATTTGGGTTATACCGACTACTTCATTCATGAGAAATGTAACAATTTTTAAAAATTAGGAAATGTGTTTGAGATAACAGACCGAAGCATTCAACTTCATTTAATATTGAAAAAAGTATTGGGATAAACATCGAACATTTATTTCCATTCCATTTCTATTTTTATATTTTTGTGGGGGAGTTATCAGAAGGAATGAGCAGATGAATTCTTCATTCACTTCAGATCTCAGGTTACCAAATTTTTAAAGATTCGCTGTTTGACATATTATAAGAGATATAAATATTGAAAATTGTGACCCTATGTGGAGGAGGTACCAGAATGAGAGGACCGATATGTTCCATCTTCAGATCAGTTCTTGAGTTAGTACAATATTAGGATGTGTGAAATTTGAAGGGGATCGGATGTTTTTTTTCGGATTTTATAATCGTTTTGGTTATTCAAAACTTTTACCCTTTGTGTGGGAGTTACCAGAAGAAATGGTCCGATCTCTACTATCTTTATGAAATATCTTGTGTTGATAGAAATATTGAAATTTGCCAAGTCTGAATGAAATCGGATATTAATTTCGCTCTTTATGAGTTTCATGGATACTCCAAATTTTGACCTTTGTGGGGGAGGTACCAGAAGGAGTGAGCCGATGTATTCCATCTATACACCACATCTTTTTGGGGGGAGTTACTTGTTTGAGAAAACCGTTATTGTACATTTTAGTACCCTACCTAACACTATCGCGATTTGCAAAATTGGAGCCATATCGGATCATCCTTTCTCTTTCTGTGCAGTAAATTATTTTCTTCTAAAATGTTGACATTTTGTGTGGAAGGTACCAGAAGGAGGGCAGCGATATTGCCTATCATCGAACCAGATCTAAGTTTGACAATAGAAAATATGATGTACCTAATATGGATCAAATAGTTATTGTTAGCAGCAGCCAGACCGAAAGACAGACAGACGGACGGACGGACATCGCTACATCGGCTCCAAATATCCCGAAACGGATTTGGTCCAAAGATATCTAGGGTTTAAACCGTTATTTCGATGAGGCACGTTTTGGCTTTGATATATACCATCTGTTGCCATATGCCTGATGGTATTATGGTAAGGGTATTATTTCTTTGCGAATTTATTTGTAACATAGAAAAGGAAGCGAGACTGACCCAAGTTACTTTTGAGAATCCTCATAGAATCACTTTCTGAGTCGATGTATGCATGTCAGTCCATCTGTCAATGTATTTTTGTGCACAAAATACAGGTTGCATTAATTACCTAATGAAGATGAAATTTTCCAAACAATATTTGTTTGGATCAAAGACGAAGCGTGGTGAGAATCAGTTCAAATTAAGATATAGCTCCCATATATTCAAAATGGTCAATATCAGTCCAAATGACCTGGATACGACCGAATGCAGTCTACAAACAAGTGCATTAAATTACCATATTTATGTTTCATCTGATTTGGAGTTTAACTTCCTCACATGCGTAATATGCACTCCACAACAAGGATATTTGATACCGGATATCGGATACCTGCTCGAAAATACCTCTGCCAAATTTTATCGAGATCGGTTCATTCATCTTATTTTAAGGTTATTGCTCACCATATATTCATTTGGTGAAACTCGGTTCGGTATATCTATTGATCCAATAAATATTTTTAATATAGTCCTTATCGAAGTCATATTATGCACCATACAGCAATGTTATTTGGTACTAGAGGTACAAAAGCCTCCATAAAATTTGTTGAAAATCGATTCAGAGTTGGATATAGTTCCCAAATTGAAACTACTCTATAGTCATGATACGCATTCAAATAAGGTTCATAGTTGGTATTTTTTTATACGTATAGTGTATCATATGTTCGGCCCGCCCGACTTTTGACCTTTTCTTACTGGTGTTAAGTTTAAAGCCGTACTTTTTGTTAGTTTGTGCAAAAGTACGCTACAAAGCATCATTTTGGAAGGATGAAGTCAAAGATAAAAATATTGTTAATCAAATTTTACTATAAGTAACCAAAGAAAAGAAATTTTCATCTCCATTGCATATCAGCTGGGCCGAACTTTTAATACCCTCCACCATTTGAAACGAGCTTGACAAATTAAAACAAAAATCCGATAACTACCACTTAAATGAAAATCGTTATATGGGGACTAAACGAAGACGTGGTCTTGCATACGAATTTTTTGCCATAGGTTCTAGTACCCATTAAGATCTTCCAATACGAAATTTGTTACAATTCCCGTGAATAATGTCGCAAAAATCATGAAAATACCGAATATAGGGAGGTACCGTTATATGGGGGCTATTCGAGGACGTAGACCTGCATAGGAAATGCATTAAGATCTTCTGCCCATTAAGATCTTCTAATACGAAATTTTAAACGATTCCGGTGAATAGTGTAGAAGAAATCATCAAAAAACAGAATATTGGGGGCTATACGACGACATGTACCTGTATACAACATTTTTTGTCATGGTCTGTAGTACCTACTACGAACTTCAAATTCGAAGTTTGAAAGACTTCCGGTGAATAAAGTCGCAAAAATCATGAAAATACCGAGTATCAGGAGGTAAAGTCCTATGGGAGCTATACGAAGACATGGACCTACATTCGAAATTGTTTGCCACAAGTTGTAGTTAAAAGGTACTACAACTTGTGGCAAACAATTTCAAATATGAAATTTAACACAATTCCGGTAAATATTGTAGCTAAAAAAATAAAAAACTGAATATCGGGACGTACCGTTACATGCATGTATGCAAAATTTTTGCCCTCTATATCAATTATTTCGAGAGATAGCGTGATTACAACAAACAAACGGACAGACAAACAGACAGACAGACGGACATCGCTAGATCGTCTTAGAATTTTACGCTAATCCAGAATATATATACTTTGTAGGGTCTATTCTGAATATTTCGAGGAATGGTAGAGGGTAAAAAAAATATTGCGAAAATCTTCTCTAATTTTTCGATCATTTTTTTTTTTCGGACTCTATTCGATTTTAGGCCTCAAAGTAAAATCAAATTTCGTTTTAGTCGAAAGTAGTCAAATTATAAAATATTCTACATAAAATTTCATTGTGAATAGCTTTTATGAAAATTGTATTCAAAATGTATGCTTTTATTGTTTATTTGCTCCCTTTATACTTCAAAGTAGGAAGTAAGAATTATTCTATATTAAATTTCATTGCAATTCAGAGACTCACCAAAAAAACGAAATGACTATTGTTGTTGGATATGATTTTCACAAGATAAATAATTTATGTTATATTATTAAAAAATATATATATATATATTTATTTTATACTAACTATTCGTCAGGTCCACAAAATTTATCCGATTGGCTGATGTCTGCTCAGCCGTTTCCGCTTTGAGAGAACGAACTTTGCGCTGTCTCGCTATAGAATTTCAATGGTAAATACAATAACAATTCAATACAAAAATTTAGGGGAGACAAAAAGAAAGAGAGCGAGAGAGAGAGGGGAAGAAACACATATTGAAGATGTACAACATTTATTATCACTTGTTATTATATTTTAGGAAGAATAAAAGAAAGAAAAAAAGCGACATGCAAATAAACGTATTTTTTGAACGTAAAACAAAAAGTCAATTGGAGATTTGAAACGAATAGCAAGTATTTGGAAAACGAACAATAAAACAATAATGAAGCCAATTTCACAAAAAAATTATAAAAAACAATTCGAACATAACATTTAGTTTGTTACATTAATTGTTTCTCACCTGTATTGGCAGATTTTCCTAATAGACCTTTTTGATGTGTTAAGATTGCATGTATCAAATGGAAAGATATAAATATGGAAAAGTGAAAAAATATAAAAATTAATATTTTTTTTATATATGAACTGGTAATAATTTTAACATGTAACAAAAATATTTCAACATGTAAGAGATATTATTTCTGAAAAAATCGGAGCAATTAAATTTTTTAATATCTAAGCATTATAATTTATAAAAAATAAATATTTATGAAAATAAACGAGAAGCTGTAAATCCAGACGATAAGGATTTTCCATTAATTTTTACAATGAATATTTCCCTCTTCCTTTCAAAGACTGCTCTTCTAAAAATTATTTTAGGAGGAGAGATATTTTCTTGGAAGCAGACTCCAACCCCGCAGACCCAATATACACCATATGATTTTTTTCATAATTAATCTGACCTTCTTTAAAACAAATTAATTTAACTTAAAAAAAACTACATTGACCACTGCAAGACATGTGATTCGCATGCATTTTTTGCATTTGACAGGTATTATTAAGCTTTCCTTTCCCAATTGATGTCCATTAATCGTCATTATTGAATGGCACGAATAATTTCGATATATTTACATACATATGGACTGGGTTTTGGTTTCGCAACCACAAGCAGAGACTGTGAAAATTCGTCCCCAATTGAATTGTGAAATAACACCCAATCGTCCGTCCGCCTGCCGATGGTGGTGTTGATTGTTATTGTTTTTGGCCACAAACATTAAAAACCTTAAAATAAGTGTCTAAAGCCTTTTGTTGGCTGAATGGCATATAACAATTGTGTCAAAGAGCTGTGCCATAGGTCAGTTTGTCGGTCGCAGAGGCAGAGGGGTAGGTGTGATGGGCCGATGTATTTTGAAGTAGTTTACGAGGGAAGAAGAGAATGGTGGGCTGGAAGTACTTGAAGAAGAATACATGATTTTTCCTAGAAAACCTTTGAATATCATTGTTTGTGAGAAGAAAATCTAAAAAATCATTTTTCAAAAAATGTTTGAGAGATTTACGCCTTTATAACTCTCTGCAAAAAAATATATGAAAAAACACGTCTCAACCTGGCTTCTTGAAAATATATTATACACATCGAAGCCTTAGTGGGATCCTAGAACAATATTTTTGTAAAATTTACGCCATAATAGAGCCCTTCAAAAATATTCCTAAAAAAGCTATACGTTAGGTAGTGTTAAAAAAATATTGTCAAAAAAAAAAATTCACGACATAGCGGCCGTAGAAAAAATATCTTCCTAAAAATATACTAAATTATGTTGATCCCTGAAGAACTCATTCTTTAAATAAAAAATATTCTTAGAAAATCCACGCCTTAAAAATCCAGTTCTCTGTTTGTCCCTGGAAAAGAATATTTTTAGAAAATCCACGCCTTAGTTTGCCCCTGGAAAAAGTATTTTTAGAAGATCCATGCCTTAGTTTCCCTTTGGAAAAAATATTTTTAGAAAATCCATGCCTTAGTTCGCCTCTGGAAAAAATATTTTTAAAAAATCCACGTCTTAGTTTCCCTATGGAAAAAATATTTTTATTTATTTCGCCCCTGGAAAAAATATTTTTAAAAAAACCACGTCTTAGTTTCCCTATGGAAAAAATATTTTTATTTATTTCGCCCCTGGAAAAAATATTTTTAAAAAATCCACGTCTTAGTTTCCCCCCTGAAAAAAATATTTTTAAAAAATCCACGTCTTAGTTTCCCTATGGAAAAAATATTTTTATTTATTTCGCCCCTGGAAAAAATATTTTTAAAAAATCCACGTCTTAGTTTCCCCCCTGAAAAAAATATTTTTAAAAAATCCACGTCTTAGTTTCCCCCCTGAAAAAAATATTTTTAAAAAATCCACGTCTTAGTTTCCCCCCTGAAAAAAATATTTTTAAAAAATCCACGTCTTAGTTTCCCTATGGAAAAAATATTTTTATTTAGTTCGCCCCTGGAAAAAATATTTTTAGAAAATCCATGGTTTAGTTCGCCCCTGGAAAAAATATTTTTAAAAAGTGCACATCTTAGTTTCTCCCTGGAAAAATTGGTTTTAGAAAATTCATGCCTTAGTTCGCCCCACGTCTTAGTTTCCCCCTGGAAAAAATATTTTTAGAAAATCCATGCCTTAGTTCGACAATGGAAAAAAATATTTTTAAAAAATCCACGTGTTAGTTTCCGCCTGGAAAAAATATTTTTGGAAAATCCATGGTTTAGTTCGCCCCTGGAAAAAATATTTTTAAAAAATCCACGTCTTAGTTTCCCCCTGGAAAAAATATTTTTAGAAAATCCATGCCTTAGTTTCGCCCTGGAAAAATATTTTTAAAAAATCCACGTCTAACTTTGCCAGTATTGGACTCTGAGAAAAATGTATATGAATACTCGTCTTAATAAGTTTTAGCTAAAATTATCTGAAAAACCCTTCGCCTTAGTTGGACCCTGTAAAAATCCATCAATAGTTCACCCCTTGAAAATACTTTTTTTAAAAAAACTACCTTGGTCCCCGCAACAGCTCATTCTTTAAATAACCGAGCCTTAGACCAATTAAAAAAGTTTGTTTTTTTCAAAAAAAAAAAAAAATAAATAAATAAATAAATAAATAAAAAAAAATAATATATAAATTTTTGAAAAATCGAAGCTTTACTTGGTCCTTAGAAAGATATACCTACAAAATTAACCCAATTAATAAAGTATTCTTAAAAAAAGGAATATTTTAGACACAAAAAAAATATTCTTTCGAAACTACTAGGGTTAGTTGGTCCTTTCATATATTCTTCAAAAATCCACGCCATAGTTGGCACGTGAAAATAATATTTTTGATAAATTTAATGACCTTTTTGGCCTTTAGAAAAAATACCCTTAACAAAAATCGCCTTGTATACTTTCACATGGCTCGGAAAGAGTCATTCTCATTACCCTATAATGAGGTTTCCTTTGAACATAAACAGAAATATCCTCCTCCCCCTTTGTAAAAGTTGTAACTACCTCCCTGCATTTTTTGTCCATGTCATTGTAGTGTTGTTATTTTCTCCCTCTCTCTCTCTCTCTCTCTCTCTCTCTCTCTCCTTTTCTCTCTGACTGGCATATAATGAATTATTTAATTAAATGATTTTTAAATTATCAATATAATTAAGTTTAAGTCATCAGAAAACCAACGGATATTGGGCCATGGGAATGGTGGATGAGTGGATGGACGGGTTATTGGGCAGACAGTGAGGCGAAAATGACCTCACAGTTCGCGACGGATAGGATTGTCGGTATGTCTGCGTGTTGTTTCTGTGGTCTGGGGGATTACAATTTATTAACAATATCCGGCAATCAATGGTCAATGATGCATGGCCATGTATTAATGGTGACCACCATCGAACAGCCGAAAGGGGAAATATCAAAGGAAGGCATGCAAATGAGGGTGGGTGGGGGCCGTCATATATATGTATGTGTTAAGTAATGTTGTGTAATTTTCACTTAAACATTACTTATGAAATATGGGGATTAAACTGGCAATGCTCTTATTAAAAGTTTAAATAAATGTGAAAAGGGGGAGAGGGGCTCCACTGCAATTATCCATTGAAGGATTAAAACATCTCATTGTTGTTGTTGTCATTATTATATATTGGTTTTAATCAGCCAGCTGTTTCATAACCGTGATAGCGGTTTGAGTTATAGATTGACATGTGGTAGTTTGTGGTACAAAATTAAAAGTGGGGATTTACTTAACAAAAAATCCAGGGGATTTTCACAAAATTTTATGGGCGACATCAACAACAACAACAACGATAAAAAACAACCTGGCTGATAATGATAAAAGCTGTTGATATTTGAGGCTTAATTTGAAACTTTTTAAGCATCAATTAATTAACTTTTTCTTATCAAAGTTTTTAAAAACACGCACACTCACACACATGTACACATAAATACACACCCATTTACATTTGTTTACATATTAACTTGGCTTATTATATACTTACACAATAAGGCGGCTGTATTTGTCAATTGAGCATTGCCCGGATTGTTGGCCGTGTTCGTCAATGAGGATTGAGTCATGGCTGCAAGGGCAGCTAAATTTTGTACAGTCATCGGAGGTAGTAGACCGGCGGCAGCAGCCGCTGCTGTGGCCGCCGTTGTGTCCGCCGTATTTGTTTGTGCACCCAGGCCTGTGAGAAAAATAAAAATAAATACATTTATTAGTAATTGATATAATATTTCTTAGGGAACAGTGGATCAACTGCGGTATGGAAGTAAGTTGTTTTCCAGTAGACAGAACAAGGGTCGATTTGAGAAAATTTCCAAAATGATTTGAAAATTCTTTGCGAAATCATTTAAATTTATTTATTATGAAAAGAAGTCGATGTTTTCAAATTCCCTTTCAACTACCAAAAAACTAGAATATATGGTCAGTTTATAAAGTTTCAAAGAGGTAGAACAATTTTTGAAAACAAATATTTACACAACATTAAGTTTATTTGAGGTTACGGGAATACGTGAAAATTTGACACTTAAAATACCAAAAAAAAAAAAAAAAAAATAAATAAATAAATAATTGAAGCACCAAGAATATCGACATATTTTGATCATCAAAATCTAGTCCTTTCAAATGGATGAAATGCTAAAATGACCCAGAAAAAATATTCTTAATAAAACCCACGCTTTAAAAAATGCAGGCCTCAGTTTGGCCGTGGAAAAAAAATTCTTTAAAACCCACCCCTTAAAAAAATCGGGGCCTCAATTAAGCCTTGAAAAAAATATTCTTAAAAACCCACGCCTTGAAAAATCGGGGCTTCAATTTAGCCTTGAAAAAATATTCTTAAAAATCCACACCTTAAAAAATCCAGGCCTCAGGTTATAAAAAATATTTTTATAGAATCCACGCCTTAGTTGGGCTCTGGAAAAATTAATATTTAAAAAATCCACGCCTGAGTTGACTCCTTAAAAAAAAATAAAAATCCACGCCTAAGTTGGGCTCTGGGAAAATTTATTTTTAAAAAATCTACGCCTTAGTTGGGCTCTGGAAAAATTTATTTTTAAAAAATCCACGCCTTAGTTGACTCCTTAAAAAAAAATTAAAAATCCACGCCTCAGTTGACTCCTTAAAAAAAAATAAAATCCACGCCTCAGTTGACTCTTTGAAAAAATATTTTTTAATAATCCACGCCTCAGTTGGTCTTTAAAAAAAATATTTAAAAAAATCCAAGTCTCAACCGACTTCTTGAAAAAATCGACTTCTTACAAAAATCCACGCTTCAGCGGACTCCTTAAAAAAATAAAAAAACGAAAAAATCCACGCCTCAGTTGACTCTTTAAAAAAATATTTTTAAAAGTCCACGCCTCAGTTGACTCTTTAAAAAAATATTTTTAAAAGTCCACGCCTCAGTTGACTCTTTAAAAAAATATTTTTAAAAGTCCACGCCTCAGTTGACTCTTTGAAAAAATATTTTTAAAAATCCACGCCTCAGTTGACTCTTTAAAAAAATATTTTTAAAAAATCCACGACTTAGTTGGTCCTTGAAAAAATATTTTTAAAAAATACAAGCCACAGTTGGCCCCTTGAAAAAAAAATCACGCCTCAGTCGACTTCTTGAAAAAATATTTTTAAAAAATCCACGCCTCAGGAGACTTCTTCAAAAAACATTTTTAAAAATCTAAGCCTCGGAAGACATCTTTAAAAACAGTTTTAAAAATCTAAGCCTCGGAAGACATCTTCAAAAAACATCTTTAAAATCTAAGCCTCGGAAGACATCTTCAAAAACATCTTTAAAAATCTAAGCCTCGGAAGACATCTTCAAAAAACATAATTAAAAAATCTTCCTCTCAGTCAACTTCTTGAAAAAAAATATTTTAAAAAAATTCACGCCTCAATGGACTCCTTGGAAAAATATTTTAAAAAAATTCACACCTCAATGGACTCCATGAAAAATATTTTTAAAAAATCCACGCTTCAGTGGACTCCTTAAAAATATTTTTAAAAATCCACGCTTCAGTGGACTCCTTGAAAAATAATTTTTAAAAAATCCACGCTTCAGTGGACTCCTTAAAAATATTTTTAAAAAATCCACGCTTCAGTGGACTCCTTGAAAAATAATTTTTAAAAAAATCCACGCTTCAGTGGACTCCTTAAAAATATTTTTAAAAAATCCACGCTTCAGTGGACTCCTTGAAAAATAATTTTTAAAAAATCCACGCTTCAGTGGACTCCTTAAAAATATTTTTAAAAATCCACGCTTCAGTGGACTCCTTGAAAAATAATTTTTAAAAAAATCCACGCTTCAGTGGACTACTTGAAAAATAATTTTTACAAAATCCCCGCCTTCGTTGGTCCTTGGAAATTTTTTTTAAAATCCACGCCTTAGTTGGTCCTTGGAAATTATTTTTAAAATCCACGCCTTAGTTGGTCCTTTGAAAAAATATTTTTCAAAAATCCACGCCTCTGTTAGCCGCTGGATAAAAAAAAATAAAATCCCACGAGACTTTTGGAATTTTCGAAAAGAGTTAAAGTTCAAATTTTCGCAAAGAGTTGAAGTGCTTCAAAGATTTGAGAGACAAAAAACTTAAAAAAACACAAAAAATTACAGCTCCGATTTCTTCACATCGAAACACACATTCTTACCTTTGACCAGGCTACTTCTTAAGGCATAGTTGTTGTTGAAAGTATTTAGTCTTTGTCTTTTCGCAGTGTGGCATCAACGAGATATCTTAGAAATATTCAACACAAAATTTAACAAACTATAAACACAAAAAATATACATTCCAACATTTCACAAAAAGGGGATTTCAAATCCCACCTCTTTAAAAAAAACAGCATTTTCAAATGCATTCTCATCATCATTTGTCTTACTTCCATACCACTGTTCCCATGGCGACTGAATCTAACCCCGCAAAGCCGATTCTCTGGCAATCATTGAAATGTAATAAATTCAAATCAAAGCTTGCATTTCTAAAATTCCCATTTGTCCCCCCGGGCTTCACACTTACCTTGCAATAGTTGCTGTTGCAGACCCACCGCCTGCAATTGTTGCAACAGCTGCAATGAGGCCGGGGTTATGGCATCGGCTCCCAACACCGGACTGGCCTGTTGCGGTGTACTTGGCATTATGGCCGGCGTCGAGACCGTTGTCGCTGTCTGTCCCAGGGGTATATTCATGTTCGTCGCCAAATTCCACAGATTCGCCTGGATCTGTTGGATTTTCTTTTGTTCCTTTTCCTTTTGGGTATCGGCAAATTTCACTACCAATGGCGAGGTGCAGCCTTCCATGGTCTTGTTTTGATTTAGTGTCTGCGGGCGAGCGAGCGGGCGGACGTCATACGAAAACAAAATATGAAATGAAAAGTTGCAAAAAGCAAAACGGAAAAAAATAAATAAATTTAATATAAATAAAAAAGTGAAAGAAAAAATATGAAAACGAAAGAGAACAACAATAACAACAACAGCATGAAAAGAGAGAGAGAGGAAGAGAAAAAAAACAGAAATCCATGAATTTCAAATGAAGTTATTTTGGCTGTTTGCTTGTGTTAAAAAATGCAGTGATTTTTTTGCCTCCAATGGGGCAATAAATCTGAAAATCCGTCGCGTTTTTTTGTTGCGCTTATTTTTTGTTGGCATTTTTCAAAAAATATTGCTGCAGTTTACTGCAGAGATTTCGTTTTAGTTTGTTTGTTGGTTGCCGGTGCTTTGGTTTGGTTTCAATGTTAACAGTTAGTGAAATGCAATTTTCACAGTTCAATAAATTTCAATAACTTACACCAGTTGGGGAAATATTATAGATGTGGCCGAAGCTAAGAGCCATCTTTACCATACCTTTAATGTAGTGCTTAGAAATCTGTACTCAATGTTCAAAGATATATTTCCCGTCAAAAAAAGTTAAGTTTTTTAAGCTCTCCACTCTGAAGTAATTCGAAATTTTTATGACCTATGCCACACTGTGGTACCGTATTATTATGTATTTTTGAATTTGGAGGTATCAAGCAAAAGGAAACGTGATAGACCCATTGTTGGTTTTTTGAGCATCATAAAATCACATTTTGAGTCGATGTATGCCTTTCTGTCTCTGATGCGAATTTATACCTACAACACTCTGTGTGGAAAGTTTGATTAAAATATTGGTCTTAGACCCTTGATGACCCTTGCCTCTAGAGAAAATAATTTTTGTTATTTTTTTTTTTTTGTGTTTTCCTGCAGTATATCCTATGAAAAAAATCTAGAGCTCATTTCCCTCTCTAAAAGGGGAGGTATCACAAAAATGGTACCCATACCTACAATTTCTACACCTTTTCTAATATAGGCAAATATTTTAGCATATGCTATATTTAATCAAAATCGAGCACTTATTTTATATTTTAGAAAATTTGTAATTTTTATTCAAAATGGTGACCCTCTATGCGGATAGATACCTGATAGCGGAAGATATCTGATACCAAAAATTTTTGAGGAGTGTATATTTCGAATATGAGGGACTTAAAGACCAAATCGGATAAAACATATATATGTGAGCTGTAGCTATATTTGAATGGATTTTCACCAAATTGGACATACTTGCTTATAGGTTAAACTTGGTCGAATGTGCCGCAACACGTCCTATTTGCACAAATATTACATAGATTTAAATCGAACGAAGTTATCCATAATATTTAGCAAGAATGAGCTCTATGAGATATAACAAATGTAAGGGATTTAAACACTATATATATGGAGCTATAGCTATATCTGGACCGATTTTCACCTAATCTAAAGTACTTATTTCTAGACTGAATTCGATCCGAAGTGCCAAAATTCACTCCATTTGGACTGATATTAATCATTTGGTGCACAATAACCTGATATCTGTCGAAGATATCGAAGAGGCCATATAAAAGTCGACCAAGGCGATCAGCCGAGAATATCGCTACCGTACGAGCCAGTGTTGAGAGGTCCCCAAGAACATCCCAAAAACGCCGTTCTCAGCAGTTGGGCATGTCTCGGTCCACTTTACAACGGATTATTCGCATTGATTTGCATTTGTTCTCGTACAAAATTCAATTGACGCAAATAATGTTGCCTGCGGACAAGCCACGTCGATTGGAATGGGCCCATGGGTCCGTCGAATATGGGCAACCCTGTATATGGGACCTATATCCAAGTCTGAACCGATCTTGATAAAATTTGGCAGAGGTTTTTGTGGACTGTATATGATATCTGATACCAAAGATCATTGTTGTCGAATGCATATTACGAATATGAGGGACTTAAATGCCAAATCGTATGAAATCGTATGCTTTACTTGCTTCTAGACTGAGTGCTGTCGGATGTGCCAAAATTTCTCACTTTTTGACTGATATTGGCTATTTTGTGCATAATAAACCCGAAATCTGTTGAGGATGTATGGGAGCTATATCTAAATCGGATCCGATTATCACCAATTTTAATAAGGTTCGTTCATGGACCAAACAAATATTGTTTGCAAAATTTTATCCCAATCGGATATTAAATGCGACCTGCATTTTGTTCGTAAAAATAGAGGGTCAGACGGACTGACATGCATAAATCGACTCAGAAAGTAGTTCTATGAAGATCTGCAAAAGTAACTATGGGTCTATTTCGCTTCCTTCTCCACGTTGAAAAACATTGTTTCCGAAAATGTATATCTTCACCTAAAAGGGTATACGAACAGGTGAAAAAAGATGTAAGTTCGGCCGGGCCGAACTACGTATACACTCTACCAATTGGTACAAATTTGGCAAGAAGTCGTGGACATGCACAGACACATTTCTGTCACAGGCTGTAGTATTCTTTAGCAACTTCAAATGCCAAATTTAAAATAGTTCCAGTAAATAAGGTCTCTAAATTAATCATAATACCTAATATCGGGAGGAACCGTTATATGGGTGCTATGCGAAGACGTGAACCATTTTCTATCTTATGCTGTAGTATCTATTACGAACTTTAAATATTAATTTTGAAACAATTCTGGTAAAAAATGTCGCTTAAATTATCAAAATACCGAATATCGGGAGGTGTCGTTATATGGGGGCCATAGGAAGACAAAACAAAAATTTGAGTAAATTTTTATCAACTTATATCATTTCGTTCGAAAGGTAGGGTGATTTCCCAGACGGACAGACGGATATACGGACAGGCGGACGGACATTTTTAAATCGATATAGAATTTTATGTTGATCAAGAATATATACTTTGTGGGGTGTGAAATGTATATTTCGAGGTGTTACAAACGGAATGACAAACTATATATACCTTCCATACTATGGTGAAAGGTATAAAAATGTGGTCAAATGCTGAGGGAAAGAGTTGTACCAATCTGGTTCGATTGAGCGAACTAAACCTAAATCTAGTTTCGTGGACTCCGATCGTATGAGTGACATGAAAACTCTGCGTATGAGTGATATGAAATATATGAAATCACTCATACGTTTAGGAACTGGCATAATGCTCTATGGACTATATTGGCACAGCTTCACTGCGGGTTCATATCTACCGGTAAACCGACACACATTCCAAAAAATATATTATTGTCGCAAAATAATATTCCTTAACTGTTCTTGATATAATTAAATTTGGCTGGAAAACCACAAGTGGCTATCCTTATAGCACTCCAGCATTTAAATGTGTATAAATTTTTTGCGTCTCGTACCATCGCTCGTTACAGTGATTCTGGTAGCGTAGTCCGACGTCAAGGAAGTGGACGGAAGAAAACAGCAACATCAGCAGAAATGGTTCGAAAAGAAAAGAAGCGACTTGATCGAAACCCGTGTCCAGTTGGCGAAAAATGGCTCGCGAGATTCAAAGAGCTAAAGAGTTGCTTCGCTGGGTCGAAAGAGGTTAACTGCCGAATTTGGTTTTCTCCGATGAGAAAACATTGGCATCAGAATAAATGCCGAATATTATAGCGAAAATATTCTGGAGGGTGTATTAAAGCCTTGGGGACGCATACATTTTGGCCGCAGGACTCAGCACCATCGCACTCAGCACGCGCCACCCAAGAATGGTTACAAAATGAGGTTCCTCGCTTCATTTCCAGCGCACAAGCGCTACAAAAATCTCCGGATATCAATCCGTTGGACTATTGTGTGTGGAGTATTTTGGAAGGCAAGGTTGACACTAAAAAATACCAAAGTGTCGATCACCTCAAGCAAGTGCTTCGCCGGGAATGAGCCAAAATACCGCAGAGTAACATTCGGACATGACGATTTGAAACATGACAGTTTCATAGGCCGTTTGAAGGCCATAATTCGTGCCAAAGGTGACCAATTCGAACAAATCTAAACTTATTCTAAAATTTGATGCAATTTCCGACATTTTTCGCTCTCATACAATAAAATTAAAAAAAAAGTCAAAATTATGGCGTTTGACTTTGTTGCAGTTTTTTTATCTCACCCTGTATATGTAATATTAGCCCAAATTGAAAATATTTTTAATATTCAACCCAGTTTTACCATTTGGAGAAACTCGGCCCGGTATGTCTATTGCTCCAAAAAAATATTTTTTTAATATAAACCTTATCGAAGTCATATCACGTCCTATACAGCAATGATATTTGATTCATAGTTGGTATCTACTTCATAATAATTCCCGAAGTATACTTTTTTGTTATGGGAGCTCCATAACAAAAATAGTGGTGTAGGGTATGATACCCGGCCCCACCCGAATTTTGACCTTTCCTTACTGGGTTTACGTGTTTTTAATTTGGAAATTATGGTTTTAATTGGTAACTTCAAACGAGTTTCTCTCGAAAGTGATTTTTTTCACGTGGGACACTATGTGACTTAATGAACGACATGTACTTCACGGGGCTTCCGATGAATATCTGAAGTCTTCACAAAGGTATTACGAAGTTAATTTACCCTCTATATTACTGTGATGGATACAAAAATTTATGAATAATTATTTCCCAACCGATTTAAGTTACTTTAAATAGTTAAAATTATTTTGAAAAAGTTTTCATTGGTTAATATTTGTTAAAATTCTCTCATCGAAATTCCATTTCACCAAAACCATTAACTCAAAGCTCATGCTGTTATGTACTTCATCATATGTTAGTTACAAATATAAAAAAGGGAAAATTACTACTTTTATCGCAGATATCGCCGAATGCTTGGTAGCGTAAGTCACAAAGGCACACCCTTTACTCTGGCCGTTCTGATCGCGCAATACCGTACACTCTTCAATGGCTCCGTGGACTTCAAATAGTTTTCGAACGTCGTTTTCGTTCAGTTTCTTATTTAGCATGCCAATGAACAGTTTGCGTTCTGAAATGAGATAAGAGAGGAAGAAAGAAAAATGTTATTAAATATTTGATTTAAAAAAATAGCAACAATTTTAAATTTGAATTTCATTGTCAAAACAAACGTAAGCAGCCATGTCAAGATTAGCAGACATAAAAATATTTTATAGTTTTTTTATTTTCTAAACATAAGACTAAATATAATAAAAATAATTTTTTTTTTTTTTTAGAAATATAAGTCAACCGCGAAGATTTTAAACTTGACTTTGGATAAATCCAAAACCATGAATCACAACGAGGCGGAGGTTCTCAATGAACATGTGGGCAAAAATTTGAAAATATTCTTTAAGTTTCGGAGACTGAAGGCCACATGGAATTCTTCAATATGACACTTTAGTGTTGTCGATTTTCAATGTCAGCAATAATCCATGTCCCATTTTCCACTCAACTTCAATCTGAAGATCTATGTTAATGCCAAAGTCATCCATCACCTTCAGGCAATGTCACTGTGCAATCCGATGCAATTCTTGGCTTAAGCGCAATATGAGCAGCAAAGTCAAGTTGTTTGAAAATATTTTTGTTGTTGTTGTAGTTATTGTTCATAAAATAATATTCTCATTATAAATGAAGACCTTCACAATGGCATTAAAATAATGTTTTATTGTTGTGTTCTGTTCAGTTTTTTTGTTTTGCATTCACGGTACAAGTTTTATTTGTTCTCATTATACCGCCGCCAAAACACACATTTGCACACACACACACACGCTCTCGCCCCGTTACACAAATATGGTATAAAACCACTACCAACAACTACACCACCGACAACAAAAGCTGGTCCTTGTATGTGAGCATAAATATTAACGCTTGACTTATATTTCATATACAATGCTTTTTTTTTTTGTTGTTGGTAAGGTTAAAATTCATTTTAATAAAATGTGTAAAAATACACAAAAGAGAGAAGAAGAAGTAGCATGGCGGAAGGGAAACACAATGCAAATTTTTAGCATTGCATTTTTAATTTTTTCGCTTTCTTAGAAAAAGTAATAAAAAAGAATGAATTAAAACAAAAGCTAGTCGCGGTGAAGTCGGACAGCCACGAATATTTTGAACTTTACATCGAAAATTTTAAACGGATTATTTTTAAAAATAATGTTATTTCGAATTTTTCGAGAGATCTGATAATTAATGATTTTAAAATTTTTGTAAGAGGCACCAGAATGAATGAACATGAATATTTTTACAATCTTCCAAGGAAAACATATTTGGACGAGAGGCCTAATATTGTCCATTTTTTGATCTAACCCAAATCGTATCTAGTTACTATCTTTTATACCCTCCACCATAGCATGGAGCGTATATTAAGTTTGTCATTCCGTTTGTAACAACTCGAAATACACATTTTAAACCACACAAAGTATATATATTCCTGATCAGCATAAAATTCTAAGACGATTTAGTATTGTCCGTCCTTCTATTGAAATCACTGTAGCTTCCGAACGAAATGAAGTAGGTTGATAAAATTTAACTCAAATGTATATTATGTCTGCAAGACTTTTGGTATTGAAAATGGGTCATGTAGGTCCAAGTTTTGGTATTGTCCCCATACAATATTACCTCCCGATATTCGGTATTTTGATGATTTTATCGACATTATTCACCTGAATTTTTATACCCTACACCACAAAGTGGTCAGGGTATTATGTCATTGTGCATTTGTTTGTAACAGGCAAAAGGAAACGAGATAGACCCATAGTTCCTTCTGATGATCTGCATAGAATCACATTCTGAGTCGGTTTATGCCTGTCCGTCCGTCTGTCCGTCTGTCCATGTATTTTTGTAAACAGTTCGCATTCATTGCCCTATCCAGATGAAATTTTTGCACAAATCATTTGTTTGGCCCAAGGACGAACCCTATTGAAATTGGAGATAATCGGTCAAAATTTAGATATAGCTCCCATATATATCTTCGTTCGATTTGCCTTTTATTGTGCACCAAACGTGTAATATTAGCCCGAATAGTATGACATTTTGCACATACAACCAAATAAGGCCTAAAAATAAGAATGCCAAATTTTATCGAAATCAGTTCAGATATAGCTATAGCTCCCAAATATATTGTTCATCCGATTTGTAATTTTTGTCCCCAGCAGCCGTAATATGCACTCTGTAACAACAATATTTGGGGAAATATATCAAATACAACTCAGAAATACCTTTGCTAAATTTTATCGAGATCGGTTCAGATTTGGATATAGCTCCCATATATAACTTCGTCCGATTTACCTTTTATTGTGCTCCAAACCTCTAATATTTGTCCAAATGGGATGGAATTTGGCACTTACGACTGAATTGAAAGTGGAATCTAGTATGTCAAATTTGGTGAAGATCGGTTCAGATATAGCTATAGCTCCCATATATATTGTTCATCCGATTTGTTGTATTTGTTACCCACAGCCGTAATATGCACTCCGTAACAACGATATTCAGGGAAATATATCAAACACAGCTAAGAAATATCTTTGTCAAATTTTATCGAGATCGGTTCCGATTTGGATATAGCCCCCATATATATTTTTATCCGATTTTAAATTAATTGTGCACCAAATGGGCAATACAAGTCCGAATTTAAAATATACAAATTCTACGGCATATTTAGTCCTTTGAAATTTAAATTATAATTATAATCATAGCATGTATAATTGAATTCTCCCATAAAAACTTTTAATTGTTATGCGAAGGTCTACTAAATTAGCAAAGTGTAGGGTATCATAAAATCGGCCCGCCCGACTTTAAGACTTTCTTTACTGGTTTCAATTTTGGTATTTGAAGTTCGTAATTGATATTACAGCCTATGACAGAAAATTGCCTGTGCAGGTCGACGTCTTCGTAAAGTCCTCATATAATATTGTTCAAGCTAAATATTAACGGAAATTGTTTCAAATTTGCTATTTGAAGTTCGTGTTTCGTATTCGTTCCAAATGGCCCGGCCGAACTTACAGCTATTTTACTTGTTTTTATATGTGCCAAGTTTCAATTAAATCGAAAAGATTTTTATTCTTGCAAAATTTTGAACTTTTGTGGAGGAGATACCAGAATAAGTAGACCGATATTACTCAACTCTGAACTTGATTTGAATTTGGTAAAAATATTAATAATATATTCCCTCTGTGGCCATATATGTAAAGGCATAAAACGTATTTAAAAACAAATTTAAAAGTATAAGTCGGTTTAGTCGACAGATATACACCCTCAGCCAATTTCCGATAATTTAAATATATTTTGACTTATGTTATGATAACTCAAATTGTTGACCCTCTATGGAGTATATTCCGAAGTAATAGGCCAATACTGCAAATTTCGTATCGGACCTAAGTAAATATTTTATAAAGATTGTGACGTCCAAGGTTTGGACTACATCAACTACTTCCTCCAATTTTTAAGAGATATGTGGTAATTTTTAGAAAATTTCAAAACGTGCGCGATTTAGCAGATATAGGGTGAGATAAAAAACCTGCAACAAAGTCAAATACCATTATTTTCTACATTTTTTTTAATTTTACTGAATGATAACAAAAAATATCGGAAACAGCATCAAATTTTAGAATGACTTTAGATATGTCCAAATAAGTCACCTTTGGCACGAATTATGGCCTTCAAACGGTCAATGAAACCGTCACACGCTGGCCGAGTGTTGTTCTGCCGTAATTTGGCCCATTTCCGGCGAAGAGCTTGCTTGAGGTGATCGACATTTTGGTATTTTTTAGTGCCAACCTTGCTTTCCAAAATACTCCAGACACAATAGTCCAACGGATTAGTATCCGGAGATTTTGGTGGCCATTGTGCGCTGGAAATGAAGCGAGGAACTTTATTTTGTAACCATTCTTAGGTGGCGCGTGCTGAGTGCGATGGTTCCGAGTCCTGTTGGAATGTTCAAGATCTTCCGCCAAGGCTTCGGCATTTCTTCTGATGCCACGGTCGATTAATACGAGCGGAGAGCGACCATCGGCTGTTATGGCGGCACACACCATCACCATGGCCGGCGCTTGAGTTCTGCTGGCCAACCGAAGGTGCACGTTTTCAGCTGACCTCTTTGGCAAGTAAACATGATAATTTTCTTTGTTTACAAACTGCTGGCCAACGAATGTTTTCTCATCGGAGAAAACCAAATTCGGCAGTTCACCACTTTCGCCCAAGAGAAGCAACTCTTTAGCTCTTTTAAGTCTATTTTTTTCTGCTGCTTACACCGCACTTTTTGGAATTTTAATGGCTTTAGCCCGAGCTCATTTTTCAATATTTGCCGAATTGAATATTGCAATATGTTCAGCTCACGAGCCATTTTTTGGCCACTACAACGCGGTTTGCGACCTAGTCGCTTCTTAGCTTTTCGAACAATTTCTGCTGATGTTGCTGTTTTCTTAAGTCCACTTTCTTGACGTCGGGCTACGCTACCAGTATCACTAAAGATTTATTCACATTTAAATGCTGGAGTGCTCTAACGATAGCCACTTGTTGTTTTCCAGCCAAATATAAAGAAATTACACTATCACGCTTGAATTCCATCACGAATAACTTTTTTCTGAAAAATTCTCACCAAAATGTTTTTGTACGCTTGTAAACAATATAATCAGCTGTCACTGGAATAATTTTAACAGCTGTCGGACGAGTGGCTAAGACATAACAGCAGTCTGAAATTGGTTGCCGTTTTTTCATCTTATCCTGTATTATCCGATTGAGATGAAATTTTCCTACCAATGTTTGTTTGGCCCAAGGATGAACCCTATGGGAACTGGTGATAATCGGATCAGATTTAGATGTAGCTCACATATATCTTCAACTGATTTCGGGTTAATTGTGCACCAACAGGCCAATATGGTCCAAAAGCCCTAAATTTTGGTACATCTTTCCGAATTCAGTATAGAAGCAAATAAATCGAATCGAATTCGGAGAAAATCGGTTCAAATATAGCTAAAACTCTCTACGATTTGGTGTTTAAGTCCATCACATTCGTAATATGCACTCCACAAG